TGCTAAAGACTTTAGAGCAGGGGTTTCCAACCCCCGGGCTGTGGACTGGTTTGGTCTGTGGCCTGTTAGGAGCCAGGCTGCATAGCAGGAGGTGAGTGGCAGGCGAGCAGGCGTTACAGCCTGAACTCCGCCTCCTGTCAGATCAGTGGTGGCATTACATTCTCATAGAAACACAAACCCTATGGTGAACTGCGCATGCGCATGTAAGGGATCTAGCTTGCGTGGTCCTTATGAGAATCTAACGCCTGATAGATTGATCTGAAGTGGAACAGTTACCCCGACCCAGTGAAAAAATTGCCTTCTACAAAACCCATCCCTGGTGCCAAAAAAGTTGGGGATCCCTGCCTCAGAGGACATACTACCTGAGGTGAGAACCCATTCTGGAGAGCAAGAGAACTGCATATAATTTATGTTCTAAGGGACTTCTGTGACCACTGTAGGTACAATGAACCAGGGATGGGGCAAGACAAGAACCCAGCTGGAGGCTACTGCAGTGGACCTGTAGCAGGACTAGCCGCAGACAAAACCCCTCAGTCACCAAGTTAAAGAAGGAACAGCTTTCGGCCAGGAGCATTGGCAAGACTCATGTCTCAAAAGCCAAGCTCTCCGAGTGAGCAATTCCTGCCCCTCTTAAGGGCTTACAACTCTAACGGGGTCCACGTGAGAGGGTTGTCATCCGTTGAGCAAGCAGGGGGTACGTGACTGGGGACTGTAAGCACCAGTAATTAGAATGGAACAGAACAGGACAGGGATTTTCATAGTGCTTTTTCATACAATGTCTGTAATCTATAGATAACATAACCGATTAGGTCAGGGGTCGATATTTAACTGCCAGGCCCAGGGTGTGGCGCCGGGCTGTCTGTCTGTGGATTTCATTTCTGCCTTTTAGTTTTGACTTCTTTCTGTGGAGGCAGAAATTGGGCATAAGACACTATGAGGGGTGGTCTCCTCCCTTAGACCAGGCAAGAGATGATAGTGGCTTACAAAGATAATGACATTTTAAATGTTAAGAAACAGCCATAGTCAGGATATAGCTCAAAGTTACAATTTGCTAATGGTTTAAAGTCTGAGTGTAAGAGAAAAACAGGCATCAAGAATGATGCCAAGGTTTTTGGGCACCTGGATAAATGAACGCTGGTGCCATTTGCTGAAATGGGAAACAACAAGGGAAGAGCACGTATGGGTGTTGCAGGAAGACTTCAGTGGTGAGCACATTATGGTTTTTTTGGTTGTTGCTTGTTGTTGTTTTTGAGATGGAGTTTCACTCGTTGCCCAGGCTAGACTGCAATGGTGCAATCTCAACTCACTGCAACCTCTACCTCCTGGGTTCAAGCAATTCTCCTGCCTTAGCCTCCCAAGTAGCTGGGATTACAGGCATGTGCCACCATGCCTGGCTATTGTTTTTGTATTTTTAGTAGAGATGGGGTTTCACCATGTTGGTGAGGCTGGTCTCGAACTCCTGACCTCAGGTGATCCACCCGCCTCAGCCTCCCAAAGTGCTGGGATTACAGGCATGAGCCACCATGCCTAGCCCGCATTATGTTTTACATGCCAAACTGATATTCAAGCAGCGATGATAAATCAACGACTGGTTATAAAACTCGAGTTTAGGGGAAAAACTGAGGCTAGAGACAATTTGGGAAGTTACCAGAATATAGTTAAGGCCATGGAACTGATGACCTCACCCAAGGAATAAGGAAAGTTCTAGAAGAATGAATCTGAGAGGACTAAGCCATTGGTCACTTCAACCTAAAGGCTGGGAAGAGGAGGATTCAGCAAAGGAAACTGACTAAAGAACAATCAATGAGGTAGGACCACAGAGGTAGAGGCATCCCAGAAGTCATGTAAAGAAGACTTCTAAGAAAATAGGAGGTTAATGTGTCAGATGAGTAAAATGAAGATGAAGAATTAGCCATTGAATTTGACAAGGCAGAGATCATTGTGACCTCAGCAAAAGCCACCACAGCTAAGTGGAGGGGATGAAAATGTAAGTGGGTCTCAAGAGAAGGGGAAAAAGGCGGAAAGAGGACATGTAGATAACGACTTGCAGGTAATTCAATTGCAAAATTTTTCCTCTAAAGCAGAGCAAGGAAATCATGATACCTGGATGGGCACATGGGGTTCAGGGAAGGTTTGGGGATTTTTTAAAGACAAGAGTTATTGTGCATTTTGCTGTTGTCGTTGTTGTTTGGTTAGTTGGTTTTTGTTTTTGTTCTTGAGACAGGGTCTTGTTCTGTTGTCCAGGCTGGAGTGCAGCGGCATGATCATATCTCACTGTATCCTCGAACTGCTGAGACTGAGGTGATCTGTGATACTCCTGCCTCAGTCTCCCAGTAACTGGGACTACAGTTATGTGTCACAATGCATGGTTAATAATTTTTTTTTTTTTTTTTTTTTTTTTGTAGAAACAAGGTTTCACTATGTTGCTCAGGCTGATTTTGAATTCCAGCCTCAAGTGAACCTTCCACCTCAGCCTCTCAAAGTGCTGGGATTACAGGTGTGAAGCACCGTACCCAGTGCATTGCACATGTTTGTATGCTGATGGGAATGATCCAGTAGAGGAGGAATACAATGATGCAGGAGAGAGAGGCTAATTTTAGGAACAAAGAGCTTAAAGAAGTTAGATGAATTGAAAGATGGGATTGAAATCCAACATATAGATTGATGGAATGGCCTTTAATAGGAGCAAGGACAGTTCATCCATTATTAACAGGAAAAAAAGTAGAGTACATACATATAGATGCTGGCATTTTGGTAGATTTCATGGTGGAAAGATATGAAGATCTTTCAGAATTTCTTCTATTCTCAGTGAAGAAAAAAAGTGAAATCATCAGCTAAGAGCGAGGAGGAAAGGATGTAGAAGGTTGAGGAATGAGAGCACTCACCATAATTTCTGGGACAGTTGGAAAATAAATTGACTGGGGAAATACAGTATGACTGGCAAGCAGCACTGAGAGCCCACTTGAAGTTCAAGACCACGGATTTAAAGGTCAGTTAGCATAGTTGGCATAGTTGTTTGCCTTTCTCTTGCCATTATCTGTTATTCCAAGTGCAAGCAAGAGTTGGATTTAACAAGGCAAGAATGACAGAGGGAGAGAGAATCAAGGGAGTGATTCCATTGTTGGTCCATGGAATATAAGGTGAGGAGAGACGGCAGGACATAAGATAGTGATATATAATGAAAAGTTAGTAGGATCAATGTATTAGAAGTCCCTTAAGCTGAAAATCTGATAGAGGGTTCATGGAGGAGTGAACTGGAAAGCTAAGACATGGTTAGAGATCAGAGTGCTTGAAATAGTCTGGAAATGGTACAGCAGTTAACAATGGCTTTGATAGTGGGTGCCTACAATGGGGTGAAGGACAAGATCTTTCCAAGTGAGGTGGTCAAAGAACTGAGAAGCCAAATGGATCATCCAAGTGGATATGAAATCTCCATGCATGACGATAGTAGTGGTGGCAGAGAGAAAAGCAGTAAACCAGAGCAGTTTTGGGAGAGTAGAGAAAAGAAGCCTAACCAAATGTGTTGCGAATGAGAGGTGAAGAAATTGAGTCAGTGAGTATAGACAACTCTTTTGACAAGTTCTGCAATGAAGAACAACAGAGAAATGGTGGTGATGCTGGTGGAAGGGGAGAGTTTGAAAAATGACATGGGGTCAAGAGTTATTTCAAGATGGAAGATTCTAGAGTATGAGTATGCTCGTGGAACTGATTAATTAGGGAGAAACTGATGCTGTAGGAGAGAGAGGATAACTGCAGGAAGAAAGTTCTTCAGGAAATGAGAGTGCTATCTAAAGCATAAGTGAAGGATTTTGCTTTTCATTTAAAAAAAAAAAAAGGCACAATTCTTCCCTGAAATATGAGAAAAGGCAGAATTCATGGGTACAGATGCAGGTAAAGCAATAGATCCATTGTAAGAAAATAAGGGATTTCGTGATTGATCACTTCTATTTTCTCAATAAAGAATGAGGCAAAGTCTTCAGCTGGGTGGGGGGTCAAAGGTGTGAACTTTAGAGGAGAGTAAGGCAGTTGGTCATCTTCAGAGACTGGGAAAACTAACTTACTAAGGGAATAAAGTGAGCTTGCCAGGCAGTGCCAAGTGACCAATTGAGATGAAATTGAAATAAACCAGACAGTATGACTGCGCAATTTTGCACAGCAAGAGTCAACTGCTGAGGTGTAGGAAGATCGATGGCTGGGTTCAATCAGGGTTGGGGTTTTGTCAGAAGTATCGTGGATAACCAGAGAGCCAATGGAATGTTGGAAGAGGTAAGGGAGTAATTGCAATGGCAGATCATGGAATCCAGGCTGGGTACGGAGGAGTCAGTGAGAACATGAGATAAAAATTGGTTTCCCAAAAGATTGGTGGTCCAATGAGGACAAATAATTGCTTTGGATTGGGTCATTAGTGAGGGATCATAAATGAGCTGGTAGGGTCAGACGAAGGATGTTTATACCCAAGTCCCATCTGCCCTGTTACCTCGTGAAGGTGGTGGGGACTGAGCATATCGTGAGCACTTTGTAGATGCACACTCTGAATACTTGCTCAATGAATGCTTTGTTTCCACATGTGACCATATGCCAAACACTGACGAAAATTTAGTGAAGGAGAAAGACGAATGGTGAAATACAAGATCTTAAGTGCTCTAACAAGTGTAACATTCAAAGTGCAACCCAGAGGAACGCAATGACTAACTGTAGAGGCGAATGAAAAAGGGCTTCAAAAGGAGGTAACAATAGCTCATTAGGTGGCAGTGGAAGAGAAGAGATTCAGTTTCTCTCATTATTAGGTGTCAATTTCCCATCTGAGTCCCTTGAAACGCAAGGGCTGATGACTGCGAAGCAACAGGTAAATGACACAAGTTCCTTTCAATATGGCAAGCTCTTGCATGCAAACCTCCAACTTAGGACCCCCGGTTCTAGATGGGGCGTGGTTGCTCAGCGCGTGGGGAATAAGGGGAAGGGAGGAGCAGGAGAGGGGATGAGGGAAGGGGAACACCTACCTCCCAGGAAAGACAGCTGAGGCCGTGGCGGGGCTCTGGTGATCAGAGATGGGGAGATCATTACTGCGGCACTGGGAAGTAATTCGGTTTCCTTGGCCTCGCGGGGCTTGCGGGGCTTGCGGGGCTCACGGGCTTGGCGGAGCTGTCGGGGCTCACTGGCCTTGCGAAGTTTGGGGGCTGCATGGTGCTCATGGAGTTCGTAGGGTGCATAGGAGTCCCGGGGCTCATGGGGCGCATAGGGCGCGTGGGGCTCATAGGACTCGTGGGGCTCATCACATTCCTCGGACTCGTCTTGCTCCCTGACCTCCTCTGGCTCCTCGGGATTCTCGTGTTTCTCGGGATCCTCCGACTCTCCAAGCTCGCTGTGAGTGTCGAGAATCCTGAGCATAATGGGCTTCTGGAAGACTTCGGAGCAAGTGGATATTTCTGTTGAGACCTGCCCATCGGTCACTTCGGACGGCTCAGACGAACCTAGAAACTCTTGGTTCTCCATTCGCGCCAGAAGCTTCTGCGGCGCGCGGCACTCACCCTCCCGGCTGGTTGCCTAGGCGCAGTTTGCTCTCTGCGCGATACTACAGGGCCGCTCGCTCCCAGCCCCGCCCCGAGCCCCGCCCCGGTCTCGCTCCCGAGTCCCGCCCTAGTCCCGCACAGCCCAGCCCCGGCCGGACTCAGCCCATCTCACGTCGCCTTCCTGCGCATTGTATGGTTGCCAAGGGGACGCACAGCTCTCCAGGACCTTCTGGACGCATCCCGGGGCGCGGAAAAGCCAGAGACACGTCGGTGGAGAGAGGAGACGAGATACTGACCCTGTTGCCGGTGTCCGGCGCGAGGATTCTCGCCTGCTGTCGTTCGGGGAGGCCCTGGGGTAGAACATGTCAGTTTCTAATCTAGTTAGGGCGCCCCTCAGACCCCAGAGCCAATCTGTATAGAGCTTGTGCCCAGAGGTTCCTGGACACAATCTCTACACAGACTTTTGTCCCCTAATCATACTGGGAGAGGATGCCGAGACTGACAATATTCTAAGGCCCTCAGTTGCTAACACTGATTTCCATCAATTTCTAGTTAAACACATGACAATCAGAATGGAGTGGGTGCGGGGTGCGGGGGGTGCGGGGGAGGTGGATCCACCAGTGCAACATTTGACATAAGCTTACATTCAAGAAGAGTCTCAAACTTGAATGCTTTACTTTATCTCCACATGAAGTTCTTCACACAGTCACAAAGAAACACTGACTGGATTAAAAGAAAAATATATTCATCTACAACTTGTGTCTCATTACAAGGCTCACTATCTACTGAAGTATGCTATAAGCTACTTTTTATAAAGGGCTGTAATTATCTTGTGAAGAATACAACTGTGTGCCGTGTTTTGTGGGTGCGTCCATTAATTTGGTAACTGTGGTATTTTTAAAATATACCACAATTCTTGTAATCCTGTTTTTGGCATCTTTTTTTTTTTTTTTTTTTATCACTTATAATACCAAGAGACTTTAAAAACGTAGGTGGCCTGGCCCTCTCTCAATCCTTGAGGAGTGCTTTCAGCTAATTTTCATGTTGGTGACAGTTTGGTAGAGGGGAATAGAAGTGGTGGAGTTTTACTGATGTGTTTATTTCCAAGGGAAGGGACTAGAGGTGTTAAGGAATAAGTTGTCTGTCAAAATATATAGTAAACCCAAGTACCCCTTTTGCTCGTTACTGGGTATTCCTTGTATGTACTTAATCTCATAGATGCTAAGAAAAGTTAGAAGAGAAATATTTTGCATTGTGAATGTTATCTGGAATGGAACTAGGAGATTCATTCTAGTATATGCATATATGAATCAGGGAATCTCCTTCAACCTTGCTTTGATATAGATGTGTGTAATATTGTATGGAAATTCAAGAAATATCCCTCAAAACTTGCAAGGAGAAATAAAGCTACTCTCAGAGAGTTTTAACTCAACCTGTAAACCAATCAGGTAGGAGTTATGTAAATCCACCTTAAAGAGGCAGGATGGCCCTTAAATCAGTAAAAGTAGTCCCTGGCTACATGAAATATCTTCAAAAGTCCAAAGAACGCATCAATTGAAAGAGGGGGATTCAGCCCACTGTGAATGTACAGAAGGAGCATCATAGAGGGTGTGCCTTTTCAAAAACTGCAGAAAGAAGGGGATCTAAGCCAACAGACTGCAATTGTTACAGCCTATCTTTTAGGTCCACTTGCTGTGAATGTTGTACCACTATACATCAAAATATTCATGCTCAGCTTTCTCTCGTTCTTTTTTATTTGGGACAGGGTCTGGCTCTGTTGTCCAGGCTGGAGTGCAATGGAGCGATCTTAACTCACTGCAACTTCTGCCTCTTGAGCTCACACCATTCTCCCACCTCAGCCTCTTGAGTAGCTGGGACTACAGGCAGAGGCCACCACACCTGGCTAATTTTTTGTATTTTTTGTAGAGACAGGGTTTTGCTATGTTGCCCAGGATGGTCTCAAACTCCTGAGCTCAAGCGATCCACCCACCTTGGCCTCCCAGAGTGCTGGGATTACAGGCATGAGCCACTGCATCCGGCACAGGCAGCTTTCTGACATGACTCGCTTCTCAAGGAGTCTGCTTATTGGGAAAGATTAGTAATGATCACACAGAATGAATTCTTTTCCAAGTCTGTTCATTTCATGTTGCTGTAATAGAATACCTGAGACTGGGTCATTTATAAAGAACTTATTTCTCTTAGTTCTGGAGACTGGAGCATCCAAGTGCATGGCTCTGGCATCTGGTGAGGCTTTCTTGATGCATCATAACATGGTGGAAGGGCAAATGAACATGAAAGACACAGAGGCACCAGGGGCTGGACTCACTTTATAACAACCACTCCCACCATGTCATGGCAGGCCACCCAGGCCTATCATCATCTCTCTGGATTCTACAATGATCTCTGAACTGGTGGAACTTCTGACTTTTACTTTTGATCACCTCCAATCGTGACACTCCAAACCATTTTTTAAAATCCTCAAGCTTTGCATTATAAGGTGTTCCATACTCTGGTCTTTTTTTCTCTCTCTAGTCTACTTTGAGCCACTCCACTACATTCCGGCCTCCCTGCTCTTCTCTAAAGTGTCAAGCTCTTCCCCATTTCAGTCTCTTCTCACACCTGTTCCCACTGCCTGGAGCCCATTTCTTCCCACTCTTTACATACTGACTTTTTTCTAGCCTCTAGGGCTCAGTTTAAATTACCCATTCAAAGAGGTCTTTCTAGCCCATATTAATTTTAAAAATGTTCCCACTATTATTTTCTATTTCAGTTCCTTGCTTCAACATAATTTATAATTATTTCATCTGCTTTTTTATTTTTGTGTACTTCCCCAGTTAGAATGTAACCTCCTTAAAGACAGTGGCATTCTCTGTCCTGGTCACTGGTATATTCCCTGTGCCAAGCACAGTGAACGACTGTGAATAGCTGTCATCATTTTGTTTTCCTGCCTAGAATCCCTTCCCTCTTCTTTGGAAGGCAGAACCCCTCCTTTCTGCAAGGAACTCATTCAATATAGTTTAAGGGGCTGATCCTTCCTTCTAACCCAGGTCTGACCAATCCAGCCACAGTAATTGATTCAGGGATGAATATGCAACCCCAGAAGAGCCAATTGGTATCCCTCCATGAGATTTAATGGAAGTCTGCTGAGAAAGGGAGGGTCCATCTTACTCTGAGATCATGAGCTATAAGAATGGCTTGTGTTGACAGCAGTCATCTTGCTACTCTAAGGAGGGAATCTGAGAATCAAACCAAGCAGAAGTTGGCAGGGCCAGGATACAGAGAGACGGTCTTATCTTTGAACTTCTGAACTCCTGAATCCACCCATGCCCAGATTTTCCAGGATGATGAGGAAAAAAAAATTCTTTTTTGTGGGGGCACGCACAAATTCGAGTTGAATTTTATTTAAAAATTTTTTTGTAGAGACAGCGTCTTTCTATGTTGCCCAGGTTGCTCTCTAACTCCTGGCCTCCAGCAGTCCTCCTGCTTCTGCCTTCCAAAGTGCTGGGATTATGGGCCTGAGCCACTGTGCCCAGCCATTTTTTTTTTTTTTTTAACAAGGTCTCACTCCATTATCCAAGCTGAAGTGCAGTGGTGCAATCACTGCTCACTGCAGCCTTGACTTCCCCAGGCTCAAGTGATCCTCCCATCTTAGCCTCCTGAGTAGCTGGGACTACAGGCATGTGCCATCACATCTGGCTAGTTTTTTGTTTGTTTCTGGTGTGTATTTTTTGAAGAGATGGGGTTTCACCAAGTTGCCCAGGCTGGTCTCAAACTCCTGGGCTCAAATGATCTGGCTACTTTGGTCTCCCAGAGTGCTGGGATTACAGGCGTGATTCACTGCACCCAGCCTGAATTTCCTTTTAACTGAATTTATTTTTAACTGAAAGAGTTCTGGCACATGGTGCTCCCAAAATGTTTACTGAATGAAAAGGCAGATCCACTCTTGATGTGCTAAGTAAACCTACTTTCTAACATGACTCAGCTTCTCAAGCCTGGAAGGCTGGCAACAGACACCAGATTCTGGTAAATTCTCCAAGGTTGTATGCCACCCTATTAGGCCCATTGTGCAGGCTACCAGCCAGGCAGCCTCTCTGACAATACACCAATCTGTCTTGTTGTCTAGTGCCATTTCTGTTAGAAAGCCCCATGACACAAACCCTCATCGTTAGCCTGAGAGCATCTCAAGTACAGAGTCCCTGCCTGAGAGCATCTCAAGTGCAGAATCCCTGCTTTGTTCACCGTGGTGTCAAGCAATGACTGCCATGTTGGCACTCCGTAACTGTCCACTGAAAGAAAAACTCCAGCCACAATACTTGTTGCCAAAATGCAGAATCTAAAATCAGAATCTGAGAATAAAAAGACCAAAGAGGGAAGAACAGAGATATTGTTCCCCATCCTGAAAGCTTTTGGCCTTTTCTTTGAAATAAGCATCCAGAAACTTGTCTATGTCCCTGATCACCTTAGAAAACCTAGGGAAGGGACAAACACATAGAATCAGAGTTTAGGGCTAGAAGTGGTCTGCATCTCACTTGATCTTTTTACAAGGACAAGACCAAGACAGTCAAGGAATTTGTCCAGGGGTCCATTCACGGTAATCCTTGGGGCAGAGGTTAAAATCCAACATTTCTGACAATTCCGAATCATTGTGTGATCCACCCTCCATAGGCCAGACAAGAAGAAGGTTTAACATTAGACACCTGAGTGGCTGCTGTAATAAGACACCATTAAACATGACAGCGCAGCGGTGATGTGAGAAAGGTAATGATCTTAAAGGCTCACTCTCCGATGTCTCATCTCTCAGAAGGCAATCATCATTTTGCGCATACATGCATAAATTAAATTGTGTTCTATTTTAACCTAAAACTAGAGACAGTTATGTGCTAATATTGAGAGGGGTTGTCTTCACCAAATTTGGATTTTTTTTTTTTTGAGACAGGGTCTCACTATGTTTCCCAGGCTGGTCTCAAACTCCTAGGTTCAAATGATCCTCCTGCCTCAGACTCCCAAAGTATTGGAATTACAGGTGTGAGCCACCACGCCTGACCCCATATTTGTATTATTTCACCATAGATTCCAAATTTTATTTTATTTATTTGTCTTGAGACGGAGTCTCTCTCTGTTGCCCAGGCTAGAGTGCAGTGGTGTGGTCTTGGCTCACTGCAACCTCCGCCTCCTGGGTTCAAGCGATTCTCCTGCCTCAGCCTCCCGAGTAGTTGAGATTACAGGTGCCTACCACCACCCCTGGCTAATTTTTTGTACTTTTAGTAGAGACAGGGTTTCACCATGTTGGCCAGGCTGCTCTTGAACTCCTGACCTCATGATCTGCCCGTCTCGGCCTCCCAAAGTGCTGGGATTACAGGTGTGAGCCACCACACCTGATCCCATATTTGCATTATTTCACCACAGATTCCAAATTTTAAAAGGAAGGATTTATAGAGCAAACTCTCTTGCCAATTTGCTTTAAAACCAAAGCAAGCCACTATAGTTACAAGTTGGATTTACAGAGTGTCTGCAAATATAGTTATCACTCTTTCTAGTGAAGAAAGTTTATCTATGTAAAAGCAAAATGTTAAGAATTTTAAAAACAAATCCCCACAATGTTCCTCATCTAGTCTAACAAACTCCTGGAAAAGAAACCCTTCCTAACTCTTTCTGAATACTGTTGATGTTTATTTCTCTGGGGGTTTGACAAAGTTCACGTTCCTCATTGTCCTGTCCCGATATTTCTTTCCTATAGTGTTAAAAACAGATCAACTTAACAGAAAGACACCTGGTTTTTTACTTGAAAAGAGAAAACATACTAAAATATATTCAAGGCGAGGTGCAGTGGCTCATTCCTGTAATCCCAGCACTTTAGGAGACCAAGGCGGGCACATTGCTTGAGCTCAGGAATTCAAGACCAGCCTGGGCCACATGGTGAAACCTCGTCTCTGCTAAAAATGGAAAAATTAGCCGGGCGTGGTGGCATGCACCTCTAGTCCCAGCTACTTGGGAGACTGACAAGGGAGGATCATCTGAGCTGAGATCACGCCACTACACTCCAGCCTGGGCAACAGAGTGAGACCCTATCCACCCACCCAAAAAAAATTTCATATAAATTTCATGCCATTGCAATACAATAAATGGGACAAATGCTTGCTAATGTTCATTTTACCTTTGTTGATTAAAAATCGCAATCCCCCCAATACGCTGTTTTACAAATACTTTTAACATTCAAAATCCAATAGAGATGCTGTTAATATGTTAGCACTATCTTTGTGCAGCTGTCCATTGGTAATCTCAGGGATATTCATTCCAAGCTCCGCACAGGCAAATGTGTATGCTCAAGCTCCTGATAGAAAATGGCATAGTATTTACATATAACATACACGCATCTACTTGTGTACTTTAAATCATCTTTAGATTACTTATAATACCTAATACAATGTAAATGCTATGTAAATAGTTGTTATATTGTGTTTTAAAATGTGTATTATTAGGCCGGGCGCGGTGGCTCAAGCCTGTAATCCCAGCACTTTGGGAGGCCGAGACGGGCGGATCACGAGGTCAGGAGATCGAGACCATCCTGGCTAACATGGTGAAACCCCGTCTCTACTAAAAAATACAAAAAAAATACCTGGGCAAGGTGGTAGGAGCCTGTAGTCCCAGCTACTCGGGAGGCTGAGGCAGGAGAATGGCATCAACCCGGGAGGCGAAGCTTGCAGTGAGCTGAGATCTGGCCACTGCACTCCAGCCTGGGCAACACAGCGAGACTCCGTCTCAAAAAAAAAAAAAAATTATATATGTATTATTTTCATTGTTGTGTTATTATTCTTTAGTGGGTTTACTTTTTGAATGTTTTTGATCCACAGTTCTTGAATCCGCAGATGTGGAACCCATGGATATGGAGGGCTGACTATATACATCCCATGCATTGAGAAAATAGGAAATGGCTTAATTTTTATTTGAAAGTGGAAACCTTTGGCTTCAAGCCTGCCATTCAACACTGATGACATTTCAGTCGTGAGCCGCACAGTGGGCTGAGTCCTGGTCACTGCACATCTGCAGCCAGCTGTGCAATCAAGTCTTTGGCATCTTGCATGGTGGGTGGTATCTCTGAGCCATTCTTAGTCACGTGGGTTCCAAACAAGAACATCTTCCTGTCATTTCCCACTTCAGATAATGCCAAAGCTTCGTGGATATCTGTAATGTGATAGGCTGCTTCAAGATCCTTCATCCGGAGTGGAATAAGAATAAGACAAAGTTGGTTATTTTGCAATCCTTTCAGATAAACACATTTATTACTCTTATTTATTGTTCTCAGTGACCACCCCATTTTCATATAAAGGATATTGTGACTCCATTATTATGAGTCCAGAGGTTGTCTGAATACAAATGTTTTCATAAGAATTATGCCAGCATTTATGAGTTATCCAAAAAAAAAAGTATATTCTGGAATGAAGCTAAGCCAATATAATACCTTCGTTTTCTAAACAGTGCAGTCAATCTGTTTCTAATTTTGTTTGTTGTTTGTTTAAAGACAGGGTCTTGCTTTGTCGCCCAGGCTGGAGTGCAGTGGCAGAATCTTGGTTCACTGCAACCTCCGCCTCCCATGTTCAAGCAATTCTCCTGCCTCACCCTCCTGAGTAGCTGGGACTACAGGTTTGTACCACCACTCCCCACTCATTTTTAAAAATATTTTGTAAAGAGGAGCATCTTGCTATGTTGCCCAGGCTGGTGTCGAACTCCTGGCCTCAAGCAATCCTTTCACCTAGGCCTCCCTAACTGCTGGGATTACAGGCATGAGCCACTGCACCCAGTCTAATTTTGTTTTTCCATTTTCCTTTTAATCTTCTAAGATTATTTCAACAGGAGCAATTCTTTTTATTTATATTTAATAACAGAAATTTGATTCATCTATTGTTTTAGGTCTATATCATACTTTACCAATTATAGTTCTTGCCACTGTGAGTTTTCTTTTGTGCTCATTATTTCTATTGAACAAAAAAATCCTCGACCAATTTTGGGGAGTAGAGGAAGACAGAGAAGGGAATGGAGAGAGAACAGATTCAGACAAGGTGCAGTGGGAAAAGGAGGCTCAGAGGAGAGACAGGGAAAGAGATGGGGGAGTCTTGGAAGAGGGAAAGCCACAGCAAGAGGCAGAGGGGAAGACAGGAAGCCTGTGCTTAGGCCTCATGCCAGGGCCAAAACCTCCTTATGATGGAAATGGCAAGGTCAAAACATACATCTTTAACTCTCATACGCCAAGAATTATTTAAGCAAATGACCTGTGACATTCCCTTTCATAAATACACAGATTCAGCTATAGTTTTCCAGTCCTTTGTGAAAGTTTTTTCACTTCTAAAATTGCGTTTGTAAATGGCTTTTTGTTATTTCATAGCATTCCGCCTAAGTTTTAGAAGATCATTTTTAAATCTTTGGAAATAACCTAATATTGTGCCTTTTTTTTTTTTCCTGTATCAATATGAACCTATCTTTTTTTTTTTTTTTTTTGAGATGGAGTCTCACCCTGTCACCCAGACTGGAGTGCAGTGGCACAATCTCGGCTCATTGCCTCACTGCAACCTCTGCCTCCTAGGTTCAAGCGATTCCCCTGCCTCAGCCTCCCAAGTAGCTGGGATTACAGGTGCATGCCACCACACCCAGCTAATTTTTCTATTTTTAGTAGAGACGGGTTTTCACCATGTTGGCCACGCTGGTGTCCAACTCCTGACCTCAGGTGTTCCACCTGCCTCGGCCTTCCAAAGTACTGGGATTATAGGCATGGGCCGCTGTGCATGTCCCGAACCTATCAAATTCTATCACTTGGAGCCTGTGGGGCTTTTCCTGATGTGCTGTCCACGGTACTTAGCTGGAGTTGATTACCTCTCCAGATATTGGTAGTTGCCTGTTTGAAACCTGAATTTGTTTAGAGCCTATGCTAACTTTTTGAACAGTGTTAATGAATCCATTAACATGTGAATGATGTCTCGGGTTAATAAATTCACTGGTGGAGTTGAAGAGGAAGAAATAGGAGAGGGAGGGAGGGAGGGTGATGGATGGGAGAAGGAGCTCTCTGTAATGATAAAGCACATCAGGAAAAATATCTGGTTTATTCCACACTTTCCTGTATGTGCCTTAATAGAGGTCATAACCCAAAGAGTAAAGATGGTAAGATGACTTTTTGAAAACCCTTATGTAATAACTTGAACCAGTGAGTCACCTAAAAGCTTGGACCAAATATTTTGGCCAAGGAATATAAACAAAGATGCATTAATCTTAAACTACGATATTCAAATCTTTTATCATTAAGGCCCAATAAAAGCTATAAATGTGATAACAAATGGCTCTGTTTATTCAGTTTGATGAAGATAATGGATACAAACCATAAGGCACAGTATTGATAAATTTGAATATTAAAAATGAAAATCACTCGGATGCAGTGGCTCACATCTGTAATCCCAACACTTTGGGAGGCTGAGGTGGGCAGACTGTTTGAGCCCAGGAGTTCAAGACCAGCCTGGGAAACATGGTGAAATCCCATCTCCACAAAAAATGCCAAAAAAAAAATTAGCTGGGCATGGTGGTGCACACCTGTAATCCCAGCTACTAGGGAGGTTGAGGGAGGAGGATCACCTGAGCCTGGGGAGGTTGAGGCTGCATTGAGCTATGATCATGCCACTATACTGCACTCCAGCCTGGGCAACAAAGTGAGACCCTGTTTAAAAAAAAAAAAGTCCGAGCGCAGTGACTCACGCCTGTAATTCCAGCGCTTTGGGAGGCCGAGGCAGGTAGACTGCTTGAGCCTCGTAGTTTGAGACCAGCCTGGGCAACATGACGAAAACCTATCTCTACAAAAAATGCAAATTAGCCGGGTGTGGTAGCTCCTGTCTGTAGTCCCAGCTACTTGGGAGGCTGAGGTGGGAGAATCGCTTAAGCCTGGGAGGTAGAGTTTGCAGTGAGCTCCAGCTTGGGTGATGGAGTGAGACTCTGTCAAAAAAAAAAAAAGAAAAGAAAAAAGGAAAAAAAAGAAAAGAAAAGAGGGGAGAGGAGGGGAGGGGAGGGAAGAAAATATTCTGTATAAAAGTAAGCAAAGTAAAATGATAAGCCACCAGGATGCTGGGAAAGATAATTGTAATGCACATAACTAACAAAGGATTATTTTTCCAAATGATATGAAAGACTCCTACAACTAAAATAAGAAAGATAAACACCCTAGTAGCAATTTGGGAAAACATATTCATAGGCAATTTACAGATGTGGAGACCAATAACTAATAAACTTCTGAAAAAATGTTCAAACTCACAAGTAGTTAAGGAAATGAACATTAGAATAATAAAAAACAAGTTCACCCATCAGACTGGCAAAAATGAAAAAGTCTGACAATACCAAGTATTGACAAGGATGTAGAGCTGCAAAAACTGTCATATTCTGCTGGTGGAAGAATAAATTGGCGCAACATCTTTGGAAAGTAACTTGGTGATATCTAATAAAACAGAATATGTACAAATCCAAAATCCCAGCAATTATTTTAGGCCTATCCACCAGCAAAATGTTCATACACATCCTCAAAGAGGCACATACATGAAGGCTCACTGGCAGCACCATTAAGAACAATAAAAAATTGGAAATAATTCAAATTCCCAGCAGTAAGAAAACGATAACATTTTGGCATATTAATGCTATGGAATACTATACAGCTCACTTACATGTACCATGATCTAAATCTTTGTAGTTTATGGTACTTAAGATGCTCCACTTAAAAACAAAACAATAAAAGCATCCCTCTCTCTTTTTTAAAATTTTCTTTTGAGACAGAGTCTGCTGGACTAGCTTCTGTACTGGACTTTAACATAGGCTCCTATTTGAGGTCATCATTTTTAATTACTTAGTTTACTTCCATATACATTCACCCATAGAAGTAGTAGGAGAAAAGTCAGGAATTGAGCTCTTCTATGATTGGCAAACCTAACAATTGAGAAAGGGACTTTAGCATTATAATATTATAGATGTTTAAATTGTTTTTCAATTTTTATTGTGTTAAATACATATCACAAAATTTTTCTCCTTAACCATTTTTAAGTGTACAGTTCAGTGGCATTAAGTATATTCACAATGTTATGCAACTATCACCGCCATCCATCTCCAAAACTTTTATCTGCAAAACTGAAACTCTGTATCCATTAAATGATAACTGCATATTCCTCCCTCCCCCAACGCATGGAAATCACCACTCCACTTTCTATTTTTATGAATCTGACAACTCTAGGTACCTGATATAAATGGAATCAGATAGTATTTACCCTTTTGTGACTGACTTATTCACTTAGCATAATGTTCTCAAGGTTCATCCATGTCGGGACATGTGTCTGAATTTCCTTCCCTTTTAAGGCTGAACAATATCCCATTGTGGCTGGGTGCGGTGGTTCACGCCTGTAATCCCAGCACTTTGGGAGGCCCAGGTGGGTGGATCACTTGAGGCCAAAAGTTCGAGATCAGCATGGCCAACATGGAGAAACTCTGTCTCTACTAAAAATACAAAAATTAGCCGGGCGTGGTGGCATGTGCCTGTAGTCCCAGCTACTCAGGAGGTTGAGGCAGAGAATCACTTGAACCCGGGAGGTGGAGGTTGTGGTGAGCCAAAATTGCGCCATTGCACTCCAGCCTGGGAGACAGAGCAAGCCTCTGTCTCAAAAAAAAAAAAATAAATAAATAAATAAATAAAGAATCGGGAGTGGTGGTGCATGCCTGTAATCCTGGCTACTTGGGAGGCTGAGGCAAGCAACTCACTTGAACCCAGGAGGTAATGAGCTGAGATCACACCACTTACACTCTAGCCTGGGTGCTAGAGCAGAATGCTGTCTTTAAAAAAAAAAAAAAATCCCTTTGCATGTGTATACCGTATTTTATATATCCATTTATTTTGGGTAGCTTCCATTTTTGGCTGTTATGAGTAATGCTGCTATGAACATATCACACAAAATATAAAATATATAAAACAAAACAATATAAAACATAAAGAAACATAAAACAGCCAAACATACAAATATCAGTTTGAGTCCCTGCTTTTAATTCTTTTCACTGTATGCCCAGAAGTGGAATTGCTGCATCATAAGGGAATTCTATTTTTGATTTTTTTTTGAGACGGAGTCTCACTCTGTCACCCAGGCTGGAGTGTAGTGGCGCTATCTTGGCTCACTGCAACCGCCGCCTGCTGGGTTCACGCCATTCTCCTGCCTCAGTCTCCCGAGTAGCTGGGACTACAGGCGCCCCCGCCACCACTCCTGGCTAATCTTTTGCATTTTTAGTAGAGACGGGGTTTCACCGTGTTAGCCAGGATGGTCAAAATCTCCTGACCTTGTGATCCCCCACCCTTGGCCTCCCAAAGTGCTGGGATTACGGGTGTGAGCCACCGCGCCTAGCCTCTATTTTTGATTCTTTTGAGGAAGCATGTTACTGTTTTCCATAGCAGCTCTGCAATTTTACATTCTCACTGACAGTATACAAGGGTTCCAAATTCTCCACATATATTTAATATTTTTAATGCATGTGTAGAGTAAGTTCGGCTCAGTCTGATTGATCTAAAGCAAAACGATTTCTTTATACATGGTAGCCACTCATATTTTGTTGAATCGAATTTAACAATTAACATGTATTTATTGAAGTAAGTTCAACACACATCTGTTGAATTCCTAGCATCTGCAAGACAGTATACTAGGTATTACAAGGAACACAAAGATGAGTAATAGTCTCTACCTTCAAGGTGTTTATAATCCAAGAGCTCTAATAAACATAAACTGAATTAAATATATAGCTTATTGTTGACTAGCTATTACACATATACATTTTTTGTATTAAATACAAAACTACTGAGTACAATTTATATTTGCACAGATTTTTACCTGTTTGTTTGCAAACACAACCAGAGGAAGTACTGGGTTTGCCGCAATTAGCTGATGAAGGTATTTCTTGGCTTCAGGTAATCGGCTGTGATCTGCTGAATCCACCACAAAGATAAGCAGCAATCCCTTGGATAGGTATGTTTCCGAGTAGGACCGAAAAGGTTCACTGCCACCAACTACAGAGAATAGTAGAGGAAGAAGACACACACACACAAAATTACAGAAGCACCCACCCTGGGAGCAGGGAGGGCACATCCAGATTTCTGAACACAGGTGTTTTGATAAAATATCACCGTGTTAGAGTGTACCCAGTCCTCAGAGGGACCAGAGGCATGTTAGTGGGGAACTGGTTGGTGAGAAGAACCATCACAAGTGGTTCATTCATTACTGTATCACAAAGGATCAGCAGAGAGATGCGAAATACTACAGGGGATGTCTCCTGATGCCACTGTCCACAGCAGCCATGTCAGCCACTGCATCTTTATCAGTTATAGCTCAGAAAATGGGAGTAAGGCCAGGTACAGTTGCTCACACCTGTAATCTCAACATTTTGGGAGCCTGAGGCAGAACTACTGCTTGAGCCCAGTAGTTCAAGACCAGCCTGGGCGACAGGGTGAGGCTCTGTCTCTACAAAAATAAAAACTAAAAAATGGGCCAGTGTGGTGGTGTATGCCTGTGGTGCTAACGACTAGGGAGGTTGAAGCAGGAGGATCACTTGAGCCCAGGAAGTGCAGTGGCGTGAACATGGCTACAGTGAGCTGTATTTGCGCCACCACACTCCAGAGCGAGACCCCACCTATCTTAAAAAAAAAAAAAAAAAAAAAAAAAGGAAAGAAAAAGAAAAAGAAAATGGGAGTATGCTACTAAAATAATTAAGACTGGAAAAGGATGGTAGGATAAAATACACATTAAAATAAATTTTAAATGAACTGAATTCATTGGCTAGTCTCACTTGCACAATTTTTTTCCTTTGTCAAAATCCTAGAAATAACTTCTCCTCTTAATATTGCACAGAGTTAACATGATCCTGTGGGTATTCAGGAATATTTGCTTCAGAAAAAAAAAAATGCCTTTTGATTACTTCATCCTGCTGATTCTTCCCAGAATAAACTTTTTGGTTAATGATAATAACATATATACAATGGATTTTGTTTTCATTTTTGTCCTAGGAGGAGTATTGGCAAACCATGGCCCACAGTTCAAATCTGACCAACTGCCTATTTTTGTACAGCTCACTAGGTAAAAATAGCTTTTACATGTCTAAATACTGGAGGAAAAAAAAAAGGTAGAATAACATTTTCTAACACAGGACTATTATATCAAATTTAGATTTTGGTGCCCAGAAATAAAGTTTTATAGTAACATTGAACATATAGAACATATTGTCTATGACTGCTTTCTCAAGACAGAGTTGAGTGACTGCAACAGAGAGCAGGTGGCCTGCAAAGCATAAATTAGTTCCTATGTAGTCCTTGACAGAAAAACTTTTTGCACCTCTGTTTCAAGAACTTAACAAAAGTATTTTAAATGCTAACAAGAAAGGATCTTTGCCTTCCCTTTGGCTTCCTTTGTACAGAGGTAGGCTACTCATTCTTTGAAGTATTTTGTGTTTTTAATTTGTTAAAATAGTGCTGTGTGACCTTCTAAGTAACTCATATGGTTTTAACACACTAAGTTAAAACATCAGTGGACGTTTGGGTTGTTCCTCATTTCTTGCTGCAATAAACAATGCTGCTGTAAACATTTTTGTATTTGTCTCCTGAGGTCCGTACAAGCAAGAGTTTCTCCAGTTATCTAAGCATGGAACTAATGCCAAATACGCCAAATTATTTTCCAAAGAAGTTGGTACCAATACACACTCTGCCAACAGCTAATAGCCAATAAGTTTCCTCTATATCCACATCCTCTTTTTATTTTTATTTTATTTTTCCTTGAGACAAGGTTGTGCTCTGTCATCCAGGCTGGAGGGCAGTGGTGCAATCTCCACTCACTGCAACCTCCACCTTCTGGGCTCAAGCGATCCTCCTTTCTCAGTCTCAGCAGTAGCTGGGACTACAAGCATGAGCCACTAAGCCTGGCTAATTTTGTATTTTCTGTAGAGCTGGGGTTTCACCATGTTGCCCAGGCTGGTCTTGAACCCTTGAACTCCAGTGATCCACCCACCTTGGCTTCCCAAAGTGTTGGAATTACAGGCGTGAGCCACTGCACCCGGCCACATCCTCTTCAAAACTTGATATTATCAGATTTCTTTTTTTTTTTTTTTGCCTAATTTGAATTCTACTTACTGATCAAGTTGAGTATTTTTCATATGTTCACTTCTAATTTGTTTTATGTGAAATGTTATTCATGTCTTTTGCCAAAGTTTTTAAGTTGTTTTTATTTGTAGGAGTTCTTTATATATTCTGGATACTAGGCATTTGCTTGGATGTGTTGCATGTATCTTCTCCTGTTTTGTGGCATCTTTTTAATGAACAGATGTTTTCCATTTTAATGTAGTTACATTTATCCATCTTTCTTATGGTTATTATTTTTTGTATCCTGTTTAAAAAATCTTTCTCTATCCTGAAGTCATAAGGATAGTCTATATTTTCTCCACAAAGCTTTTTACATTTGGCTTTTATCCATCGGAAATTGATGTATACATTTGTATGCATAGGAGACAGGAAACTAATTTCATTTTTATTCCATGTTGTCCCTGCACCATTTATTGAATAGTTTCCCCAGTGGACTCTCTAGTCTGTTCCTTTGGTCATTCTGTTCATTCTTGTGCCAACACCACACATTTTAATTTCATAGCTTTATAATAAGATTTGATACTTGACAGGACAAGTCCATCTTTCTTACTAATTTCTTCGAGTGTCTTGACTTTCTTTACTCCTTTGCTCACCCATGTCAATTTTAGCCTCAGCTTGTCAAACTCTTTTTAAAAAATCTTGTTGAGCTATTGATTGGAATTGAATTGTATCTAAACGTCAATTTGGGGAGAATTAATATTTTTTTGATATAATGTCTACCTATTCATGAAAACTGTATTATGTCTCTATCTATTTAGGTCTTTCAGTGTTATTCAATGACATCTACAGATTTTCTCTGTATAGATAGACACATTTTTTTGTTTGGTTTATTCCTATCTTTTGTTGCTATTGAAAATGGCTGCATGCTGCTGGGTAATAGAAATACAATTAATTTTATATTGTTATATACAGTTGTCTTGCCAAGCTCTTATCATTTCTAATAATTTGAAGGGTGTTTTAGGCTTTCTTTGAAGACAATCATGTAACTTGTAAATAAGTATTGTTTTATTTCTTCCTTTCTAATTCTTATGCCTTTTATTTCTTTTTCTCAAACTGACTAGAACCTCTTGTATAATGTTGAATGAAAAATTTTTTTTTTTTTTGAGATGGAGTTTTGCTCTTGTCATCCAGGCTGGATGGAAAGCAGTGGCACGATCTTGGCTCACTGCAACCTCCACCTCCCGGGTTGAAGCAATTCTCCTGCTTCAGCTACTCCTGAGTGTCTGGGATTACAGGCACCTGCCACCATGCCCGGCTAATTTTTGTCTTTTTAATAGAGACAGGGTTTCACCATGTTAGTCCAAGCTGGTCTTGAACTCCTGACTTTAAGTGAGTGATCCGCCCCCCTTGGCCTCCCAAAGTGCTGGAGTTACAGGCATAAGTCACCACACCTGGCTATTTTTCAAATGTTAAACCAACCTTTCATTCTTGGAGAAACTCATCTGGTGATATACTATCTCTTTAATATATTAACTGAATTTAGTTTACTACAATTTTGTTCAGATTTCTGCATTTCCATTTCTCATACTCTTTGCTGGTTTGGATATACAGTGACCTCATACCATGAGTTGGAGAGCATTTCTTTTTTTCCCCTATTCTCTGAAAGAATTTATGTAAGATTAAGATTGATAAGAGCCCACCTATAAACCAACTGATCGGGTGTTTTTCATTATAGGATGATTTTTTGCTATTGATTTCTTTAGAAGCTTTAAATTATTCAATATTCCTATTTCTTCTTGAGTCCATTTTCCTAAGACACATATTTGGAGGATTTTTTCCACTTATCCAGGACTTTATATCTATTGGTACAAATTTGTTAACACAGGTATTATACTCTTGTCATCTTAATGAATGATATGCTCTTTTTCCTTCATGACATTACTTATTTGTGGTTTCCAGATTTTCCTTAATGAATTTCACCAGAAATTTGTCTATTTTGTTTATCTATTCAAGGAACTAACTTTTGACTTTGCTGATCTTTGCTACTGTGTCTTTATCAATTTCATTCACTTCGTGTCTTTATCATCTCTCCCTCAACCTCTTTGGTTTTATTCTGTTGTTCTTTTACCTAATTTACATTGCATATTTAACCTATACGTTTTCAGCTATTTTCCTTTCAGCTATAAGCATTTAAGATTATAAATGCTTTAAATGCTAGTTTTGATCAGTAGATTTTGTCATCTTCTTTTTTGAGACATGGTTTCACTCTGTTGCCCAGGCTGGAATACAGAGGCATGATCACGGCTCACTGCAAGTTCTGCCTTCTGGGCACAAACGATCCTCCTGCCTCAGCCTCCAGAGTAGCTGGGACTACAGGCATGCACCACCACGCTCAGCTCATTTTTTGTATTTTTTGTAGAGGTAGGATTTTGCCATGTTGCCCAGGTTGTTCTCAAACTCCTGGACTCAAGCAATCCACCTGCCCTGGCCTCTCAAAGTGCTGGGATTACAGGTGTGAGCCACTATGCCTAGCCTGAACTCATATTTGATTAATCTTAATTTATGAGAATACTGGGGGTCTTTGCTCCAGAATTAGAAACTGGGGGAGCTACTGACTGGGAGCATGTTAGCACTCTTCCAGGGGCCCTCATGTCATGCAGGCATCTTAGTGCTTTCCTATTTTGTCTCAGGCCCACTACAGATTAAATACTGGTATGTGCCTCTAGATAACACCACTTTTTCATTTGCTTATCTACTGTGGCTGTCACTCCAGTTTCAACTTATGAGTTGTTTTATTTTTCTTTCTTTGGAAGGAGGGAAAGGGCAGGAAGAGTAAAGCAGGTAGCCTTGCAAATTTGTCTTACTTGTTGCAAGTTCATCAATGCTTTAAAAAATAAATTTTTACCAGGATTTGTGGTTTTGTCACAGAAAGGCCCTTCAAAAACTATAATAGGAACTGAAATCTCTCCATTTATTTTTGCCACGACTTTTTAGTGCATAAACTAAAAGAATTTTTTTTAAAGATTAAGATGATCTGTAGAATGTTGATGAAAAGATATAGGCAAAATTATATGTGAATATATCATTTCTACAAATAGGCTTATACAATAAAACTTCACCTCCCACCAATCCCCAACATACTCCAAGTGTTACACGATAGCATAGCAGCCCATACAGGTTTATATCACTGAATACCACTGGATGCTGCATCCTAAAAAAAGCCTCCTTAGAAGCTATGCCTGTGGCATTATGAAAACTTACCTAAATTGGTGGCTTAATATAGCCACTGTGAAGATACACATTTTAAAACTTAAAGGTTGCAAGTGTAAACTGCTATTCTTCTTCAGGATATTGATGATTATGATAAAAATTGGGAACACAGTTAGCACTTAATGCATTTTTGTTGAATATGTACTATTTGCCAGACATTGGGTATATATTGTTGAACAAAACAAGTATAGCAAAAGTTACCATCTAGTTGGGTGGACAGATCAAAAACAAATAAAAATAAATAGTGAATGTTATTAAAAACCTTATGGAGGAAGCAAACAGCATTGGGGAACATACTTAGAAAGAATGATTTTATGGGCTGGGTGCAGTGGTTCACGCCTGTAATCCGAGCACTTTGGGAGGCCAAGGTGGGTGGATAACCTGAGGTCAGGAATTCGAGACCAGCCTGGCCAACATGGTGAAACCCCGTCTCTACTAAAAATACAAAATAATTAGCCGGGCATGATGGTGTGTGCCTGTAATCCCAGCTACTCACGAGACTGAGGCGACAGAATCACTTGAACCCGGGAGGCACAGGTTGCAGTGAGCTCAGATTGCACCACTGCACTCCAGCCTGGGTGACAGAGCAGGACTCTGTCTCAAAAAAAAGAATGATTGATTTTATGGGGCCATGTAAGCTAATACCTGAAGGTTGAGGAGCAAGCCATCATGGGAAGAGCAGGGGTAGTAGTATGTCTGACAGAAGGCACACCCAAGAAAGCTCTTGTAAAAGGAGAGAAAGAAAGGAGTACAATAAGCCTGGGGTGAGGTAAGGTTAGGGAGGAGGCAGTTTATGAAGAGCCTCATGGGCCATAATAAAGACTTTCGATTTTATTACAAGGATGAGATCTCCACTGAAGAGTTTTAAGTTAGGAAATGATAAGTATGTGTTAAAATACTGCTCTTCATAAACAGATAAAAGCCAAAGTAAAAAGGTGACTATAATAATCTAAGTAATAGATGATTGAGGTTCCGACTTGCATAGAGGCAGTAGAAAGGATGTAACCAATGCATTTGAGAGATGCGTTGGAGCTGGCAAAATTCATAGTGTTTTACTTGTGGACTGGAGGTGGGGATGCAAAAGGAGGAGTCAAGGGTGACTCTCAGGTTTCTGACTAGAGCAACCTGATGGGTATGGAGCCATTTACTGACCAGAAGATTACAGGGAAAGGAACAGATATGGGAAAAATCAAGCATTTTGTTTTTCCCTTGTTAGGTTGGAGGACTTGGATATGTTTGGGCTGGATAGATAAATTTGGGAGCCATTAGCATATAGATGGTATTTAATGCCATGAGGACGGATGAATGTGTAAAGAGAAGACAAGAGGACTTGACCCAACTTCAGGAGAGAGTAATATTTAGAGGTGGTGACTCCAGAATTACTATCTAGTAGGGGCCTGTGGATTGCCATCTATTTAGAAGAAGAGGTTTGGAGCTTGTCTATAATTTTATTTGCAGAGAAGCAAGCACACTGCACTTAAACTTAGATTGCATGCTCATTTGCAGCAGTGTGGGAAGAAGGCTGATTACAGGAGATTATAGGAGGGAGTGCTAAAGCCTTCCTCTAAACTCCCCCTTTATCACCACTACTGTAAAAAGGAGAACATCAAAAAAGCAAAAAGTGATTCCCCCCACAGTGTACCTGGGTATTAAAGTACACATCCATTCTAAAAGTCTAGGAAAATTTGATTCAGTGTTAGTTTTCACAAAGACTCAATGTTGCTAACATCATGTCTGGCTTAAGAGAGAATAAAATGTGGCTATCTTGTAACTAAGGAACAGAGAGCTTACTCTCCAGGAACTCCATTTGGCCATCTTCAGTGTTGATGCAAACTGCATTGAAACCTTGGGTGGGTGCCACACTATGCTGGACTCTGTTTGAAGCTAGAGAGTGGAGGACACTGGTTTTTCCTGCTCCATCCAGGCCCAGCACTAGGATTTGCTTGTTTTTCTCCTGTGAAACAAAAGATAAATCAATAAGCCCATGCTATCAGGGGCTCATTTTCCTGGGTCTTGGCTGTGGGTCTGCCTGTGGTAGAATCCAATAATATTCTTGGAATTGTAACCAGAATAAAACTTCACGGGCCAGGTGGCTCACACCTGTAATCCCAGCACTTTGGGAGGCTGAGGCAGGAGGATCTCTTGAGGTCAGAAGTTCCAGACCAGCCTGGCCAACATAGTGAAACCCCATCTCTACTAAAAACACAAAAAATTAGACAGGTGTGGTGGCGTGCACCTGTAAGTCCAGCTACTTGGTAGGCTGAGGCACAAGAATCACTTGAACCCAGGAGGCAGAGGTTGCAGTGAGCTGAGACTGCACACTGAACTCCAGCCTGAGGAACAGAGCGAGACCCTGTCTCCAAAAAAAAAAAAAAGGATAAAACTTCACGAATATTTTATAGGTCTAGAACAAACTATACCAACCAGTGAACATTTTCTAATTAGCTGTTCATTATGTGATACTAATTTCACATCCCTCCTCCATCCCCTAACTCCTGATCAGTCTATCAAATAAATACTACCAGCATTTATGAGTAGTGCTATAGATTACAGGACCAATTTTCAGACTTCATTTTGCTTCTTGAATTCGTGTCTATGAATTGGAGACTGCACCTGAGTTCATTTTGTTTGGGGTCTTGGGACCTCCGTGGTGCATGTATTGACTGTGCCACTCAGTGCATAAGCATCTAAGGTCTCAATTATTAATTTCGCCTGTCTTCACAATTGAATAACTAGATTGTAAGATCTCAGAGCAAGGTTTCCCTCTTATACATTTTTTTTTTGAGATGGAGTCTTGCTCTGTCACCCAGGGTGGAGTGCAGTGGCATGATCTGGGCTCACTGCAATCTCCGCCTCCTGGATTCAAGCGATTCTCCTGCCTCAGCCTCCCGAGTAGCTAAGATTACAGGAGCACGCCACCACGTCCCACAATTTGTATTTTTACTACAAACGGGGTTTCACCATGTTGGTCAGGCTGGTCTCGAACTCCTGACCTCGTGATCTGCCCACCTTGGCCTCCCAAAGTGCTGGGATTACAGGCATGAGCCACCACACCAGGCCTCCCTCTTATACTTTTTAATATAAGTATCACAATTAAATGAAAAGGTTATAGAAATTATTAAGCCAGTTTCAATCACAAATTAATATTTGTTTTAAAAACAGACGAACTTGGGAGGCCAAGGCAGGCAGATCACCTGAGGTCGCAAGTTCGAAACGAGCCTGGCCAATACGGTGGAACCCTGTCTCTACTTAAAATACAAAAAATTAGCCGGGCATGGTGGCGGGTGCCTGTAGTCCCAGCTACTCCAGAGGCTGAGGAAGGAGAATGGCGTGAACCTGGGAGGCGGAGCTTGCAGTGAGCTGAGATTGCACCACTGCACTCCAGTCTGGGCAAGAGAGCGAGACTCCGTCTAAAAAAAAAAAAAACTAGCCAGGTGCAGTGGTGGGCACCTGTAATCCCAGCTACTCGGGAGGCTGAGGCAGGAGAATCACTTGAACCTCAGAGGCGGAGGTTGCAGTGAGCCGAGATGGTGCCATTGCACTCCAGCCTGGGCAACACAGCAAGACAACATCTCAAACAAACAAACAAAAAAACAAACTAATGAACTTGAAGTAAACTTAGACAGAAGCATTCTAGTTTGGGCGTCGTGGCTCTCATCCAACATTTTAGGAAGCTAATGCAGGTGGATCACTTGAGGCCAGGACTTTGGAACCAGCCTGGCCATCACGGCATAACCCTGTCTCTACCAAAAATACAAAAATCAGCCAGGCATGGTGGCACATGCCTGTAATCCTAGCTACTCGGGAGGCTGAGGCATGAGAATTGCTTGAACCTGGGAGGTGGAGATTGCAGGAGCTGAGATGACACCACTGCACTCCAGCCTGGGTGACAGAGACTCCATTCCCCCCGACCCCCCCAAAAAAAAGAAAAGAAAAAAAAAGAAAGAAGCATTCTATCAATGTATCAGCCTTAGAATTTTTATGGCAAATGACTGAGGGACAGAAGGGCAGGCTGGTGTGAAGATCGTTCAGAGTGCTCCGAAATGTGGTTTCCAGGGTGTAAACTTTAACATAAAGACTTGTACAGAGAGCATGATCTATGAAGGCCATACAGTGAATAACAGAATTTGAAAAAAAGTAGGCCGGTGCGGTGGCTCACACCTGTAATCCCAGCACTTTGGGAGGCCGAGGAGGGTGGATCACCTGAGGTCAGGAGTTTGAGATCAGCCTGACCAACATGGTGAAATCCCATCTCTAGTAAAAATACAAAATTAGCCGGGCATGGTGGCGCATACTAGTAATCCCAGCTATTGAGGAGGCTAAGGCAGGAGAATCACTTGAACCTGGGAGGTGGCGGTTGCAGTGAGCCGAGATCATGCCATTGCACTCCAGCCTGGGCAACATGAGTGAAACTCCGTCTCAAAAAAAAAAATGTACTTATTTGTTCTTAGAGCAAATCTTTGATGGTTCTTAAATTGTATTTTCATAGGTGTCTTCCATCCCTGGCTCTTCTCCATTCCCTTCAGTTGCATCTAAATGTTATGATGTCATTCTGAGAGTGTGTCAAGGTAAGGAAGAAGGGCAAGGGAGACTTCATTGGATGGCTTACAACTGCATGTTTTTAAGCAATACCGGCACCAAGAAATGGCAGCCAAGAGTGGATTATGTCCTGTCAGTCTTCACCAGAGGCCCCATTCAGCCTACCCCGACATACTTCATTCATTCTAAGATACACATTCCGCCCCCCACATTCCACATTTTAACATCTCTGAAATTAGGATGTCTTTGACAATTGAGAGTATATCATATTTTGATTGGCAGAATTTTTTATTTATTTATTTTTGAGACAGAATCTTGCTCTGTGGCCTAGGGTGGAGTGCAGTGGCACAATCTTGGCTCACTGCAACCTCCGCCTCCCAGGTTCATGTGATTTTCCTGCCTCAGCCTCCCGAGTAGCTGTGATTACAGGCACATGCCACCATGCCCAGCTAATTTTTTTGTATTTTTAGTAGAGATGGGGTTTTGCCATGTTGGCCAGTCTGTTCTGAAACTCCTGACCTCAGGTGATCTGCCCGCCTTGTCCTCCCAAAGTGCCGGGATTACAGGTGTGAGCCACCGTGCCGGCTTTTTTTTTCTTTCTTAGTGGTACCTAGACTAACGACATCTTAGGTCCTATAAAATAGTGTGAATAAAAAGCAGTTCCCAGGCCAGGCACAGTGGCTCTTGCCTGTAATCCCAGCACTTTGGGAGGCTGTTGGGATCAAGCTCCCCAAAATCTGGCCATAAACTGGCCCCAAAACTGGCCATAAAAAAAATCTCTGCAGCAATGTAAAATGTCCATAATGGCCATAATGCCCAAGCTGGAAGGTTGTGGGTTTACAGGAATGAGGGCAAGGAACAGTTTCCGCCCAGGGCGGAAAATTGCTTAAAGGCATTCTTAAGCCACAAACAAAAGCCTGAGTGATCTGTTTCTTAAGTGCATGTTCCAGCTGCAATTAATTCGGCCCATCCCTTTGTTTCCCTTAAGAGATACTTTTGGTTAATTTAGTATCTATAGAGACAATGCTAATGACTGGTTTGCTGTTAATAAATATGTGGGTAAATCTCTGTTCGGAGATTTCAGCTCTGAAGGCTGTGAGACCCCTGATTTCCTACTTCGCACCTCTATTTCTGTGTGCGTGTCTTTAATTCCTCTAGGGACACTGGGTAGGGTCTCCCCAACCGAGCTGGTCTCGACAGGAGGCCAAGGTGGGTGGATCGCTTGAGTTCAGGAGTTGAAGACCAGCCTGGGCAACATGGCGAAACCCCATCTCTACCAAAAATACAAAAATTAGCTAGGCATGGTGGTGTGCACCTGTATTCCCAGCTACTTGGTAGGCTGAGGTGGGAGGATGACTTGAGCCTGGGAGTTGGAGGTTGCAGTGAGCCGAGATCACGCCACAGTACTCAAGCCTGGGCGACAGAGCCAGACTGTCTCAAAACAAAAACAAAAACACCAGTTCCCTTTCCAACCACATGGCTGTCCCTACGCCCATCCTACCTAGAAATTCTGCATTCAGGCTTCCTCACATTTATCTTCTTGAGACTAAGGAAAGCTGAATTTGTAAAACAGAGTTCAGACACAAAATGTGATGCTGAACACCATTGTTTTTTGTCAGAAGTTATTCCTTTAGCCAAATATGGGTCTATGTAGTATGTGTTTTACCAGAGATCAAATATCTGTTAATCCGTGGTGGCTCACGCCTGTAATCCCACCACTTTGGGAGGCCAAGGCAGGCGGATTGCTGGAGCCCAGGAGTTTGAGATCAGCCTGGGCTACATGGCGAAACTCCATCTCTACACAAAAATACAAAAATTAGCTGGACATGGTGGCGTGCGCCTGTAGTGCCAGTCACTGAGGTTCGGAGATGGGGACGGTGCCAGGCTGAGGTGGGAGGATCCCTCCAGCCTGAGCGGCAGAGTGAGACCCTGTCACAAAAAAGAAAAAAGGAAAAAAACAACAACAATAAAACAAAACAAAAAAACAACAACTGTGTTAATCATTCAAATTGTTTAGAACCAGATCGTAGCTCTAAGCCAAGGAGCCAGTTCAGGAACTCCAGGAGCACAGAGACCATCCAGCTGACCCAAACAATGCCAAGTTTTTAAGACCTGTCAGTTAAAACTTTTCCGCCACGCATTCAGGGTACTGGTGGTCTGAAAACAATGAAGGCATCAACTGCAGCGTCCCCAGCACCTCCTGCATTCTGCAACCCTGCCCCTTCTGACAAAGAACGCATTCACTGCAAAGAGGGCCTGCGTGCGGGGAGGGTTCGGGACTGGTTTCTACATGTGGTCAGGTGGTCTGTGCGCTAGTGTTGCGCGCTGGACAGATCCAAGGGCAGTAGAGGGGCCGTTCGCCATGTCCCCATTAAGACCGAGATCACTTGTCCTTCAACACTAGACCCGACGAAGGTTAAGACACAGGGGTAACGATACGGGCGAGGGTGGGCAGGGGGTCCGGGAAAAAGGGGCTGGCGATGGGTCGTTCAAAGTTTGGCACATCGCTTTCATCCATAGGTAAATAGCCCTCAGTTGTGATCCATTCCCTCCCGCGCGGGTCGGGGGCCTCCAACGTAACAGAGACAGCGCCGTGGTCTGAAAGCCGACAATGGCCTTGGGGCAAGGGGTCCTGGACACTGGATCTCTTACCAGCGGCTCGAGCGGGGTCCTTGTCAAGGTGCTGTCCTTGTTCTCCCCTTCCTCTTCTTGTCCCTTAAATTGTTCCTTCTCTTTCTTTGTCTCCTTCCCTTGCTTTGTCCTTTTTTCCTCTTTCTCTTTTCTCTTTCTCCTCTCCTGCTTCTCTTGCTTCTCCTTTTCTTTTTCTTTAATTTTCTGCTCCACCTCCTTTCTTTTCACTTTCTCTTCCTTTCCCTTTTCTCTGATTTTCTCCTTCTCCGTCTCCTTTTCCTTCTCTTTCTTCTTCACTTTCCCCCTCTCCATCCCCAGCGCCGCGGTTTCCTTCCCTCCCGCCGCGTGCCCGCGTGCTGAGCGGTGGCTCTGGGCCCCAGGTGTGGCTCCCAAGGTGCACGCCCGACGGAGACGTAGGCCCCGCGGCGTAGACAACCCGCGGGAGCCGCCAACCCCGGCAGCGCCGCCAACAGCCGCTCACCTGGCGGATGCAGGGCTTCTTGCAGCGGATTCGCTGAACCCGCAGGGGCACGCAAAGAGGGAAGGGCGGAGGCGTACGGGATGGGTTGAGCCCAGCCAAGCGAAACCAAAAGGTCCCAACCAGGACGCGGACAGCTCGGCGGGGTATATATCATTGCTGCAGAAAAAGCGTCACTTGCGCGATTCCCTCGGGCCGGAGAGGGTGGCTGAGGAGAGCCTTCCACGCCGGCCGCAACCTAAGCAACCTTAGCGTCTGACGTCTCCGGTTTCAATCCCGAGCCCGGCCAGCCTACGCGAAGAACCCCTAGGGCGCCAGAGTCCAAAGGTTCCGGGGAGGATTCTCAGCCTTCCGCCAGCTGTCAACCACGAGCCTGTACTGCTCATGTCGTGTATTTCTCCGCCCTCTCCCGAGTAAACTCCACTAGGAGTGTCTCCAGACTACTACCCAGGATTATTAAAGACAGATAGAAGAACGTGAATGGGTTCCATTGTTTTAAGTTCCTTTTTTTTTTTTTTGAGACAGTCTCTGTCACTAAGGCTGGAGCGTAGTAGTGCGATCTCAGCTCGCTGCAACATCCCGCCTCCCGGATTTAAGCGATTCTCCTGCCTCAGCCTCCCAAATAGCTGGGATTACAGGCGTGAGCCACCACGCCCGGCTAATTTTTGTATTTTTAGTAGAGCCGGGGTTTCACCACGTTGGCCAGACTGGTTTCGAACTCCTGACCTAAAGTGATCCACCCGCCTCCGCCTCCCAAAGTGCTGGGATTACAGGCATGAGTCAGCGTGCCCCGCTTGTATTTCGCTTTTTAAAAAATTATTCAGAGATAGCCTGCCAGAATCACAGCTGCTAGTAATGCTCAGTATTAAACCAAAACCTAATGGTCTAGTCACTCCTAATTATCTAATAAATGGTAAATAAGGCACACGAGGTGGTTTTCAAAGGTGGTATTGTTTCTCAAACTGACTAAGAAATATCTGGAGGGTTCCTTTTATCTTGCTAAACTTAACTCTTCAGTATATTTCAGTTTAGCACAATTATTTATTTTTTGAGAGAGTCTCACTCTGTCCGCCAGGCTGGAGTGCAGTGGCACGATCTCGGCTCACTGCAACTTCCACCTCCCAGGTTCAAGCAATTCTCCTGCCTCAGCCTCCCGAGGAGGTAGGATTACAGGCGTGTGCCATCACGCCCAGCTAATTTTTGTATTTAGTAGAGATGGGGTTTCACCATGTTGGCCAGGCTGGTCTCGAACTCCTGACTTCGGGTAATCTGCCCACCTCGGCCTCCCAAAGTGCTGGGATTACAGGCGTGAGCCACCGCACCTGTCCAGCACAATTATTATTTTTTCAGACAGAGTTTCACTCTTGTGCCCAGGCTGGAGTACAATGGCACGATCTCGGCTCACTGCAACCTCTGCCTCCCAGGTTCAAGCGAGTCTCCTGCCTCAGGCTCCCGAGTAGCTGGGATTACAGGCATGAGCCACCATGCCCGGCTAATTTTGTATTTTTAGTAGAGACGGGGTTTCTTCATGTTGGTCAGGTTGGTCTCGAACTTCCGACCTCAGGTGATCTGCCTGTCTTGGCCTCCCAAAGTGCTGGGATTACAGGTGCGAGCCACCGTGCCCGGCCACAATTATTTTTTAATGCAATAAACTTATTTTCCTTCATTGTATCTGTTTCAAATAGACTTGTAAGGAACAATGAATGGCAGGTTCCAGAAGGTTTGAGTGAGGCAATGATTTTTAAGGTTGGCTGTTCCCAATAGCATTGGAATTGCTATGCTTAATCACTTTTTCAAAGGTTTACTTCTGTTTATACACACACCAAGATGAATTTTCAGTAAAGTTTACACTGAAACTTACCGAATCTCTCAATCCCATTAGATTAGTTTTGTGAGTTTACTAAGAGGGACAGTACACACAATTTTGATACTCAGCTTAAAAGAAAATTCTTGGTTATACTAACCAGGAAGTCCTCCATAAAATGCCAACACCCAAAACACCTTAATCCATATTCACTGCTAAAATATTTTATTTTAAAATGTACCACAGTGAATGGATGTATCCATACTGGTTTTTATAAATGTACACATACACATCCATATATTTGACAAAGTATATATATGTACTGGTTAAAGACCTATCCAAAAGAAGGTTCATGTATTTATACTTCATTTGACAATTAAAACTTTATTTGAACAGAAGTTTCAGTTGCTCAGCAATGACTAATGCTATCAATAATGACAACTAAATTGAGAACTGTAAATTTCACTGCTGTGCCTTGGGTTAAAATTTTCAATGATGGAATCCTAAATAAGTAAGTTATTCCTATAATGGGGTATATATTCAGAAGTAATAAATATCTGTCACTATTACCAAAAGACTGTTCTCTGTAGAGCTCAAAAAAGTATTATGCCACAATACATCATTTGTATTTAAAAAGGATCTCTTGTTTAGATGCCACTGCAGATTCTGCTTTTACTGAACAGAAAGGCAGCACCCCATTTCTTTCTTGTAAAGGAGGAAAGTCTTTTATAAAAAAACTCTTTGAAGAAGTTTTGGTAGTTACGTTCAGAGTCAAACACAGCAGCACTTTATTAACAAGGACAGAGTAATATAATCACAAGGAAATACTTCTAAGTCTAAATTAAATGATATGTTGGGCAGCATAAAATGAATACTAACAAGGGCAGGCATCTCAATGTGTCTGTCTCACAGCTGTTCAATGTGAAAGTAGTTTGTAAGCAAGGAAAGACAAGAGCAACATTTACACCACAAATTGACTGTAAAATATTTCATTACATTGAGAAAGGTAATCAATGGTCAAAATCCATAACCAGAAGGAGACACCATTTGAGTATCTATCAATGGGCCAAACAGATCTGTCAGATTTTAATACTGCCTGGTATGCAAACTCAGATACTGATTTCCTCTCTATGTAGGAAACCAATGTTCATGTTCTTGATAATAGTCATTAATCTTTCTGATTGAGACAGTCCAAACCCATCTGACCTCAGAACACTAGGTCTAAGAGTCAACTTCTTACATTGATATATTTTCCTTGAGTTCTTTCCTGGTGCTGTATCAGCATGTTACATAATCTGAAAATGACATGGGGCACAAAGGAGTCATATATATATAAAAATATGAAAATAATCCCATATTCCAGTATCACATGACAGAAAATTTATGGTTAAATTATTTAAGACATTTACTTTATTTTTCTTGTGGCCATCCATTTAATTAAGTGAAGAACATCAGTTAAGTATTAAGAAGGTCCCTCTTTATCACATGATATTTCTAAGCAGATATTTAGGAATGCTCAGAAGATTCCACTTTCAGTCTCCTAAGGCCTCCTAAGACATAATTTAAAGTGGGACTTGAACAGAAACAAGTATCTTCAGACTCCAGCTGAAATCGTAGAAATAGTTTCTGTTTAAATCCTGGGAAACCTTAGATAAGGTATGTGAAACTGAAAAAAGATTGAATCAGCACACACAAATAAAGGATACAACAGATACCATGATGGGTAAATGCCCAATTATTTTCAGTCCTCATAATCTGTACAAAGCTATGAGGCAACCAGTAGGCCATATCTCACTAGGCAGACTTTGAGGAAGATGTTTCCCTATTTGAAACACAAGAAATTATGAAAATATGGAGATGAAGAGGGAGCAGTTCTGTGCTTCTTGCTGTGTTACCTTTATTATATTCCTAGTGTCACTGAGACTAGTTTAAAAACAGCCTGTAACAAGAATATTCTCATCACCAGCCACCTTTTCCACCTTTCTTCTTTTTCTGTTGCTGTTTCTTTTTTGTTGCTGGAGCCCCTGCAGGTTTCTGGTGTCTTGGGGGTATGATGTTACTTGTAGAGGCAGATACTGTTGCAGCACTGCCAGGTCTTGGGGAGGTGGGTGGGCTGCTCACAGTTTTACTGGCATCCCTGAAATCATTAGATCAGATCATTTTTGGTCACTCATATATTCAACAAAGGGAGAGTATAAAAATGTATGTATATGGGTTTTACTTATCACACTTAACCCATTTTACTTATCACACTTAACATATTTTCTACTTCTTTTAAGGTAAGCTCCCCAACTCCCTATTGACTTTTCTTTTGAATAACATTTTTACTGTTTTTATTGAAGAAAAGTAAAACATGATACACATGTCAATTTTTAGAAAGCATAGAAAATAAAAAATTTTATTTTTTTGAGACAAGAGTCTTGCTCTGTCCCTCAGGCTGGAGTGCAGTGGTGCCCAGGCTGGAGAGGAGTGGCGCCATCTCAGCTCACTGCAACCTCTGCCTCCTGGGTTCACGTGATCCTTCTGGGTTCATGTGATTCTCCTGCCTCAGCCTCCCGAGTAGCTGGAATTACAGGTGCGCACTACCACACCAGGCTAATTTTTGTATTTTTCATAGAGACAGGGTTTCACCATGTTGGCCAGGCTGGTCTTGAACTCGTAACCTCAGGTGATCTGCCTGCCTTGGCCTCCCAAAGTGCTGGGATTACAGGCGTGAGCCACCGCACCCGGCCAGAAAAAATATTTTTAAAATAACCTCTCATCTACCATACAGAACGTATTAACATTTCTAACACTTCTTTCTAGTCATATTATTTATTTACATCTGTTTATCTAGGCATTTATTTAGTTGAATGACTCAGTGTATTTAGTTGCCTTTTGAGACTTTTCTTTAGTTTTTATAATACAAATAGTTTTTACTATATATATTTCACAATATATATTTGATTATATTGTAAATACTTAAAACTATTTGACTGTATTGTAAAAACTAAAGGAAAAACTAGTCTAAAAAGGCAATATATTTTCTTTCATTTACATAAGTGTAGTATAAACATTTATCAAAGATACATCACTACATTTCTCATACTTTATATTAAATTCTCACTAGTGGCCTTGAGTCAATCTCAGAAACAATGTATGTTCTAAGTGCCCTCAATTGTGGAGCAATAACTTACAGTTCAGATGAAGCTCCTGCAGTTGCTCCCTGGGTCCCTTTTCCAATCTGATCCTTCTTTTTACCTTTCCTTCTTCCCCAGATAGAAAGAACATTCTCGCATTGGCAGCCATCTTTCTGGATCTGGGGTAACTTTTGGGTCATAATTCTTAGGCAATTTTCCTGCATAACAATTATAAAGAGAGATGTATCATAATATTTTCGAGATAGTTTGATTTAAACAATGTCTCTAAGCCTGGGAATAAATAACATTAAAATGGAAATGAATTTGAAAAAGTTTAATTTGTATAATCTAGCAGGCAAAATGGCCTTACTTTTTTTTGTTATTATACTGGGATACATGCGCAGAACGTGCAGGTTTGTTACATAGGTATACACGTGCCATGGTGGTTTGCTGCACCCATCAACTGTCATCTACATTAGGTATTTCTCCTAATGCTATCCCTCCCCTAGCCTCCTACTCCCACCCTGCCACAGGCCCGGTATGTGATATTCCCCTCCCTGTGTCCACGTGTTCTCATTGTTCAACTCCCACTTGAGTGAGAACATGCAGTGTTTGGTTTTCTGTTCTTGTGTTAGTTTGCTGAGAATGATGGTTTCCAGCTTCATCCATGTCCCTGCAATGGATATGAACTCATCGTTTTTTATGGCTGCATAGTATTCCATGGTATATATGTACCACATTTTCTCTACCCACTGTATCATTGATGGGCATTTGGGTTGGTTCCAAGTCCTTGCTAATGTGAACAGTGTTGCAATAAACATAAGTATGCATGTGTCTTTATAACAGAATGATTTATAATCCTTTGGGTATATACCCAGTAATGGGATTGCTGGGTTAAACGGTATTTCTGGTTCTAGGTCCTTGAGGAATTGCCACACTGCCTTCCACAATGGCTAAACTAATTTATACTCCCACCAACAGTGTAAAAGTGTTCCTATTTCTCCACATCCTCTCCAGCATCTGTTGTTTCCTCACTTTTTAATGACTGCCATTCTAACTGATGTGAGATGGTATTTCATTGTGGTTTTGATTTGCATTTCTCTAATCACCAGTGATGAGCTTTTCTTCATGTTTCTTGGCCACATAAATGTCTTACTTTGATAAGTGTCTGTTCATATCCTTCGCCCACTTTTTGATGGGGTTATTTGTTTTATTCTTGTAAATTTGTTTGAGTTCTTTGTAGGTTCCGGATATTAGCCTTTTGTCAGATGAGCAGATTGCAAAAATTTTCTCCCATTCTGTAGGTTGCCTGTTCACTCTGATGATAGCTTCTTTTGCTGTGCAGAAGCTCTTTAGTTTAATTAGATCCCATTTGTCAATTCTGGCTTTTGTTGCCATTGCTTTTGCAGTTTTAGTCATGAAGTCCTTGCCTGTGCCTATGTCCTGAATGGTATTGCCTAGGTTTTCTTCTAGGGCTTTTATGGTTTTAGGTCTTAGGTTTAAGTCTTTAATCCATCTTGAGTTAATTTTTGTATAAGGTGTAAAGAAGGGGTCCAGTTTGTTTTCCGCATATGGCTAGAATCCTTTCCCCATTGCTTTTGTCAGGTTTGTCAAAGATCAGATGGTTGTAGATAGGTGGCATTATTTCTGAGGCCTCTATTCTGTTCCATTTGTCTACGCATCTGTTTTGGTACCAGTGTCATGCTGTTTTGGTTACTGTAGCCTTGTAGTAATAGTTTGAAGTCAGGTAGCATGACGCCTCCAGCTTTGTTCTCTTTGCTTAGGACTCTCTTGGCCATACAGGTTCTTTTTTGGTTCCATATGAAATTTAAAGTAGTTTTTTCTAATTCTGTGAAGAAAGTCAATGGCAGCTTGATGGGGATAGCACTGAATCTATAAATTACTTTGGGCAGTATGGCCATTTTCATGATATTGATTCTTCCTATCCATAAGCATGCAATATTCTTCCATTTGTCTGTGTCCCCTCTTATTTCCTTAAGCAGTGGTTTGTAGTTCTCCTTGAAGAGGTCCTTCACATCCCTTGTTAGTTGTATTCCTAGGTATTTTATTCTTTTGTAGCAATTGTGAATGGGAGTTCACTCATGATTTGGCTCTCCGCTTGTCTATTATTCGTGTACAGGAATGCTTGTGATTTTTGCACATTGATTTTGTGTCCTGAGACTTTGCTGAAGTTGCTTATCAGCTTACGGAGATTTTCGGCTAAGATGATGGGGTTTTCTAAATAAACAATCATGTCATCTGCAAACAAAGACAATTTTACTTCCTTTTTATTTGAATATCCTTTCTTTCTTTCTCTTGCCTGATGGCCCTGGCCAGAACTTCCAATATTATGTTGAATAGGAGTGGTGGGAGAGGGCATCCTTGTCCTGTGCCGGTTTTCAAAGGGAATACTTCCAGCTTTTGCTCATTCAGTATGATATGGGCTGTGGGCTTGTCATAAATAGTTCTTATTATTTTGAGATACATTCCATCAATACCTAGTTTATTGAGAGTTTTTAGCATGAAGGGGTGTTTGTTGAATTTTATCGAAGGGGGAAAAGGCCTTATTTCTCAGCGTGACAAAAAAATTCAGAGGCCATAAAGAAAAAGACTTCACAGATACATCTATATAAAAATTTTAAAATCTTTATTTAGTAAAAAATATATTTCTAAGAAAAAATTTAAAATACAAAGTATGTAATAGAAGAGTGGAAAAAATCCTTAATATAAAAGAATTCTTGCCGATCGATATGTAAATCACTCAAAGAAAAATGGACTCAGTTATAATTAAGGTAGGTCAGGAGAAAGGAAAGTAATTCATCTTCTGAACAGATGTTCACCCTCACTAATTAAAAATGAGAAGGGTAAAAAACTCTATCAGACCCGTAAATATTAAAAGCAGTAATACCTAGTGTTGGTGAAATGGTAAGAAGCACTCACCAACACTATATTAGGAGAAGTGTATAGTGGTATAGCCTTTGTGGAGAGCAATTTAATCTGACAGCACCATTAGAAATTTATAGACTTCTAGAAATTTATCGTGCAGAAACCCAAGAGATACAAAGTTAAGAAGAGAATATTCTCTGTGACGCTCTTTTTCTTTTTTTTTTTTTTTTAAAGATGGATAGGGCAAGGTATGGGTGGGCTGATATTCTTGAAGACAGTAAAATAACTTAAATGTCTAGCAATGAAGATGATTACATTATAATATGCCCACAGAATAGCAACCTATTCAATTGGGTTAAAAAGTGAAGTGCAGGCCAGGCGCAGTGGCTCACGCCTGTAATCCCAGCACTTTGGGAGGCCAAGG